CTGTTATCATGCTAAAGATGTTGGAGTTATGTGTAAAGGTAACTTAAATGTCAATATACTTATCGTAGTATATGTACAATACACACAGAGTCTCCTATTCACTACAGCATGACCATTGACACTGATACTGATGCTGTTTCTATTGGGAGTAGAGTAGTACTTACCTGTAATGTATCTCCTGCTCCTCCTGTTAACAGTACCTATGACTGGAGAAGGACTGTATCAGGAACATCTTCATTCACACAATACAGAGATACAGATCCTAATGTCACACTAACTATAAATGCAGGGCATACAACTCATGAAAACTATTACTGCATAGTGAAATACAATGGAGTAGTTATAGGAAGAGGGCATACTGTAATTACTGTTAAAGGTATTAACTCATAGCTGAATCAATGCAGTATCTTATCTGATATTTTTAGGACTTTTACAGCAATCTTATGGTAATATTCAGTATAGTAATGAGAATGGCTTTGTTGGTATCTTGACAGTGAACACAATAGACACTACTGTAACTGAATATCTCCGTGAACTCAACTGGTATTATAATGGTAATAAAATATCAAATTCAAGCAAGTACCTCATTAACAATGGTAACAAGACACTTGTCATTAATAATATTACTGATGAAGACATTGGAAAATATTCTGTTAGATTTGATGGGCTAAGATTGTATCACTACAATAAAATATGTGAAGACAAAATAATACAAATTTTAAGAGGTTTTCCAGTGTTGAGGCCACTAAATTTTATTGTATCATATAATGGTATTATCATATGTAACTTGATTATTATAATTATTGTTAATTTTTGCAGGCATTCATATAAATGAAAATAGTCCTCCTGTTATTTACACTGATGTCATCACTGGGTTTAGTAATGAGTTTTCTTCAGTAACATTGACCAGTTATGTGGATGAATATTCTAATGAAGGGAGTGTATCACTGTATCACAATGGTAACTTATTGTTTTCAGGAGTAACCAGTGGTATAATAGATTCCTCATTTAATCCATACTATAATTACACTATCAATCATCCATCAATTACTGATTCTGGATACTATGAATTTCAATTTGTTCTCAACCCATATTCAGTACTTTCTTCATTGAATTGTCCTCATTCATATCAAAACTTTCTGACATTTTATACATTTTTAAGACTGAATGCTATTCTTCTTGATCAAAGTGTACAAAAACTGGAATATTATGGTTAGACTAAGTATAATTATACTATTTAAATACATATTTTATATTTTACTTAGAAACTCCACACTTCAACTTCAGCTCTAATTCTACCAGTTTTATACAAGATTACAATGTTCAGCTATCATGCTCTGTCAGTGGTGGGTATCCTCTCTATCGTAATATTACTTTGATTAAGAATGGAGTGGCTATTGCTAATAGTACAGAATCAGAATTAGTTCACATTACTTCTGGTAGCTTTAAGTATGGTCTCTATCAGTGTGCAGTTGATACTACAGTTCAGTATATTAAAAAAGAAATACTATTAGAAGAGGAAGGTAAGTAAAAGTCATTGTAACATCTTAAATTTCAATTTAATAGTTCAATTTACTTTTCAATTCAATATCAAAAATTGCCATGAATGGAATGTAAGTTATTGTCTATGTGATTATGAGGTATAATGTTTTATGCTCAATGATTGATCCATAGGATGCTGTGCTTATGAATGCTTTAAGAAATCAAACTAAGCATTCTTGCAGATGTTCAGTTGAGGATGTGAAGTTTCGTGATTCTGACAGCTCTTGCTCTAACAATATACTGTCCTTTTCTTCAACCATGATATATGCAGCAATGGATGGGTCTCGAACTGCTTCAAATTTGGTGTCAATATTACTCTATAACTTTGAGAACAATAAGTTGCTTTGGATAAACAATATGACTGCACTCTCTATTGCTTCACCTTCAGATGATGATGAAAGCAGTA